TCGTGACGTACTTGTAGGGCAGGAAGGGGTGCTGGTGCGTGCCCAGGGCCGCGTTAACGAGCTGTGAAACGAGATAAATCAGTATTGCGCATTATCAGTGGGTTGGGTGGTAAGTATAAGTGGGAGCGTAAGGATACAGGACTGGAAAGAGGGCATGGAAAGCGGAAGAGTGGGGGAGGCAAATGAGCGAAGGAGAGAGGGGAAGGGTGTTGGTAGAATGGAAAAGAGGGAAAAGAGGGAATGAAGAGTAAGGAGGGAAAGAGGGTTAGAAGAGGAGAGACGCACGCTATCCCGCCCGCGATTGTACCCATCCGGCACGATATTGTGGTGCTGGGTCGAGTCCTCTTCTTGAGATACACTGCGCAATGTCATATAAAAACCCCCGTCAAAGAAAAGCAGCAGGTAAAAGAATGAAATGATACGTACGCTAAGAACACCGCCCCGCCCTGTGCCCCGTCGCTCCCAGCGGTAGCGTTATAGCCCTGTATCCACGCGCGGAAGTGGTTGCCTCCAATCAGGGACTCGAGGCAAGTCCCGAGGAGTGGGGAGCGGAAGTCCGCGCGCCAGACACCCTGCATGAAGCGTGTAATAGTTAGCTGTCTTGAGTACTTAGGTGATTGGTGGTGGGTTGGAGATGGGGGTGGAAGGGGATGGCGGCGGGGATGGAGAGAAAGAGGATACGCACCAGCTCGTCCACGTCTCCCGCACCGTCGCCCAAGTTCGCCGTCTGCGGTGTGCCGAGGTGGAATCCTAGGCACTCCGTCGAGCTGCCAAAAATTGGTTAGTTGGCAAGTAGTAGATATGTTTAATGGGAATGGGAAGAGGGGGTCGAGTAAGAGTGACGGGAAGAGGGACTTACAACCCGACCGCCTGCGCCCAGTGCGTGAGCCCCGTCTTCGTGCGCACGCTGGGATGGCTCCTTGCCGATATTATGACCTGTACCACCGTAGAAAATAACACGCGTTAGTAAAGGAACTAAACGATATCGAGATAGAGATATACAATATATGCGCGTTAATGAACGATAAAACAAATCAATGGAGGACAACGAACTACACTAAATCATCGACGTCTCTCGAGTGAAACGCCGCGAGTATGATAATGCGGCAGGATGCAACCAGGAAAGGCTAAGAAACGAAAGGAAACGAAATGGAACGGAACGAAACGGCGTCGAACGATCTCGGGGCCGTATATGTGCATATACATACAACGACACCCGTAACGAAGAGAAAAAAGCAAAACAAACTAAGGAAAGTTGCAAGGACGTACATTAAGCGGCTCCCCGAGCCCAGCACTCTTGTCGAGCATGGACCCGCCACCCGGGGCGACGGGTATAAAATCTGGGACCTGTGTTGGTGTCGGTGTTCCCAATGATGAGGTAGTTGGTATCGTCGTAGCTGGTGTCGTCGTAGTGGGGGTTGATGCCTCGGTGGAGGTGGGAGGAGTGGAAGGGGGAGGAGAAGGAGAAGGAGAAGAGGATGTTGTGGTGGTCGTAGTTCGGGTAGTTCGGGTAGTGGTCGTCGTAGTGGTGGTAGTGATTGTACTCGACTCCGCACCCACACCAGCACCCGTAGTTTCGGCCGTGATAGTCGTAATTGTCGTCGTTATGGTCGTTAAAGTCGTTACCGTCGTCAAACTACCACCTAGTTCAGTACTTAAGCTTGAGCTTGTAATCGTCTCGGTCGTGGTGGTCTCGGTCGTGGTAGTTTCCGTTGTAGAGGTGATCCCGTCAGTGTGAGTGGACGTCGTGGAAGTGTTGGAGGTCGAAGACGTAGAAAGAGTCGTGGGTGTGGAAGCCGAGGTGGTGGAAGAGGGCGTAGCGCTGGCGTCTCCCAAGTCGACGTTGACTTTGACGACCGTCGGTGTTGCCAGTTTCGGATCCGCGACGGCACCGCTCACAAGGACATCAGCTTTCGTCGCACTCCCATTCCACCCGTCGGCTCTAGATTCGACGATAGACCCCGCACCCAAGTCCGCAACATGATCAACTCCCGAGCTTGTCCCCGCTGCTAGTCTCCCAGCCGAGCCTGGAACCGCATTCGGAACGGACACTGACAATGCTATGTCCGGTAATGAAAGCGATAGGAGTAACAGTAAGATGAATAGCATTGAGTGCACCGTCGTTGAATAGGGCTGGTGTCGATGACGGTGGGAAGGGGTCATCGCGGGGGGAATGATCTTGATCGCGGTTGAATGAGGATTGTGGCGCAGAGCCAGTTCAAGGTGATCGTGGTGATCGCGGGGATGGGTAGCGATGCTTAATTGGAATGAAAGACAGCGGGGATAAGGCGAATGATGGTCGGGGGATAAGCTGGAGGACGGGACAGCGGGAAAGACGGGCCAACGGTGAATGAGGGTAGGAGAGAAGGGGATCAGCGAACCGAAAACCGACAGCGAGACAGCGACTGAGCGTGTGCGTGGGGACGGAAGCTTGGTTCAACGAGTTATTATAAGTATTCGGAACATACGAACACGCTTATGACGGAAGGTGGGACGATGGAAGAAGAAGAGAGAGTCTCAGTGTGCGTGATGATACATGTAGCATAATATGGTGGGCAAACGTGTGTGATCTTGTTCGAGCCTGCGAGAGAGAGAGGCGGGTGGAGTGCTGGCTTTGGCGACGAGGGTTAGCCGACTCGCTAGCGATTAGCGAAAGAAGGGAGTCAGATGGGAGAGGAGAGCTAGAAACTGAGAGCGAACGTACGCACACACAGAGGGAGACAAGACGGACATACACAGGTCGAGAGGCGGCGCTTCTCTGCCTTCTTGGTTGCCACTCGCTTCATCACTGCACGATGGTGATAAATCGATAACGTGAGATCGGGTTCATAGAGGGAGGAGGTTCGGGCCGGGTGTGAAAGAAGCTCGAGCTCGATAGCGAGATGTGAGAAGAAGCCTAAAAAGGTGAGTAAGTAGAAGAAGGATGTATTAGATGAACGAGCTGAGCCACACCACGATGGTTATCTTACGGTGGTTCCTCAGAGTATAGCATACATCGATCCAACCCGGATGGCGCCTTCCATCGCCGCCGCCAACCTGCCGAAATCCCAACGTTGCAGAGACTCAAGGTGAACGTCTTAGGCTTCAGCAGACAAGCGCAAGGAGGCTGGAAATCGGCGGGCTAGCAGATCCGAGCAGAGCGAATGCGTGTCTACACAAGGGATATGGAGAAAGAGTAAGAGACGCAGAGGACTAGAGGAGCAACACCCGCGCATGTGGGTGGGTTACTCGGATATCGAAATACCGTCGTTTCCGACGAGACAGTAGACCGAAGTGGACGTCGACAGCGATCGTACACCAGAGCACTGTACAACCGTACAGCTGCACCCGCGCCCCTTCCGTGACAAGCTCAGGAGGGCATGCCGCTTTGAAGTGGAGCCATCACACTGTCCGACGTGCGTACCACTCCCTCTTCAATTTGTTCCAGGACATACAACTGAGCGATCCGTCACAACGCCTCAGTAATATTACACCAGCCAAAATGAGAGGTGCGTACAATCCTTTGCTCTTTCCGTAGATCTTGTATCATCCGTTTCGCCTGTCGCTTTCCACATATCCGCCTCGCCGTCTTCCAATCACGCACGAGGTGCCAAGACGCCGAGCACAGCTACGGCAGCAAAGAATGCAGCAAATACCTCGCCTTCTTCGCAACAGAATACCTCCAGGCAACAAACACCATTGATGGGTGGCCAAGGAAGCTAGCAAGGCTGCCTTCGCCTCGAGGAGAGCTTCATAAATCGCGGATCGGAGGACTACTTGCAGCGGGGCAACGCGAGGCCTGATCACCAGGAAGCGCGCCTCTGAGCTTACCTCGCGCCCCGCCTGAGACGATCGCGTGTCGCAGCCCGCGGCCCGTTGAATAAGACTACGACAAAGAGAGGGCACCTACAATGCCCGACGAACAGGGCGAGGATCTCAGATAGTAGATCGCAGTACTGGCACTGAGATGAAAAGCTCCGCGTCGACGTCTGCGTTCAGTGAAACGCGCCTCGGGATCCCCCGCAGGCGTTCGTAGGTGCGAATCACGCCGAGAGCGCGGAAGAGCAGAAGCAGACACAGCGCCCGCGCCGTTAGGCAGGTACAAGTTGAAAGACAGAGGAACTGAGGTCGCAGGGGGCGGGCAGCACGGAAGATATCGTCTTCAGACGCGTAAAACGACCCCAAGGAGACGCCGAGGAGCGGGTCTCAAGAGGCAATCCGCACAGGATCTAACGATATTGCACTTATGACTCCCGCGATTTCGCATCCGTAGTGACATCCAGACACCTAGCAGAACGGCATGTCAGTAATAGCGTGTCGCTTGAGTAGAACCACACACCACAAGCCATAATATCCGATCCAACACGTTCCAGGGATGCAGAGAGATGCGCGCGCCGCTCGACGGGAATCGAGTCATCGAGTACTATAGATAATAGCACCGTAGGTAGTCCTATCATCGAATATTGTTTGCATCGCTTTGCGGGGTTGCCTGAGGGCGGCGGTAGATAGAGACGAGACGCATAATCCCGTCGTTTCGTTCCAGGAGACGTCCTCGGACGTTACGAAGATGGCGTTGATAATGGGGTGAGCGGCGTCGCTGTCACAGTCGCGTCGGCACTGAGGATTTTCACGAGGCACCTTCCTTGCGCCCCACAAGTCCCTAATGAATGATAAACGCAAAACCCCTCCTCGCCCTCATCGTCGTTTCGTGTTCGTCCGCTGTAACGTCCATAACCGAGAATTACGGGAGCGCGTCGGAGACCAGATATCTCGATCAGATAGTAGGTACTCATCTGGTTTCAGCAACGCCGAGCGTCAAGCGTCACTGGCCGCTGCGATGATGAGAGTGACAAGAAGAAGCAAATCTGTGTGGTCGTCGCGCAACCTCGCGCAACTCGAAGTCAAACACACGTGACTTGCCCCTGTCTCCTGTCCCGCCCTGTCTCGCCTTGTTCCTCCTCGTTCCTTCCTTATTCCCGTTGCATCTCCCCATGGTTTAACTGTAAAATTGGTTTCTAGCTGGCCTGATGGTCTAGAGGTACGATGCTTGCTTCGGGGGTGGAGTCCCAGCCCATTTGGATGAGGCATGAATGCAAGAGGTCCCGGGTTCGATTCCCGGTCAGGCCCCTGATAATGTTGTGCAAAGCTACTGTTTTTGATGGTGGTTCTCTTCATCTGAACAATCTGAGAAGCTCTCCAGCCCTGTGTGATTCACACTGTGTCACAGGAGCTTAATCAAGTTCAGGAATGGGCAGAAGAAGCTAAACCTGCAGATTCCAGTATGCTTTTTGCCTTGAGGGGTCTTATCATTGATCAAATTGTAGAATTTCCCCTCTTTCTTTTGCACATGCACCCCCTGCTTCTACATCTATATCTGTTCAACCCAGAAGGCAGTGACTTCCACATTTACATGCATATCAATGATCATGCACTCTGCAACATGGATTTTGCAGAGACATGCAAGTTGGAAGTATGTATAATATGTACCACTGTACTAGTGTGAGAGGCCATGAGGCAGTTACATGTTGCCTGTACATGGTCTACTCACTTACCAGCCTTTCTTTGTGCACATGTTACCTAGTATACATAGTACCACTAGTACTCATGTATTTCTGAATCCTAGCGCCTTCTTTGGGACTCTTGCATTCTTGTCTTCACTGTAAGTTCCTCTACAGATCCTGCCTCTCATGCTATGCTCTCTTACTCCTGTGCTCCCCATGCATTCTTATGCTGCCCACATGTTTCCATGCTCCCCATACAATCTCATGCTCCCCACACATTCCTATACTCCTAACTAACAAGTCAGGAGGCCCCTTGTGTCCCATCCTTCACAGCACCGACTTTCTACTTCCTAATCAGCAATTATTCAGTGTACTTATCCTGATGCTCAAAGCCCCAGAATTGAGGTGTGACCTTCTTGCTAATCCCTTCCCTTGTTTCCACCTGATACCCTTTCAGAGCTTTCACTGCTGCAGTTCCTGCCTTCCTGGATGAACGCCAATGCTTGCACCACCAGAGTGAAGGATGACAATCCCAATGCAAGGGTGCCACAAGGTGTTGGAAGGAAGAGGTGTGAATGCAACAAGGGATCAAGAGGTGCCTTTGAGAAGAGGAGATTCATGAGCCCTGAGACAAAACCACAGTCGTGACGCTCCACGCTGATCACAACAAACCTGAGCCTGCTTCTGTTGCCTCTTCCACATCCTCTTCCGCTACCTATTCTCAATTCATACACCGTCATTCTCCAATTCAGCAGCTGCAAGCGTGTTGAAGGCTGCAGACAAGAAGAGTGCGATGCAGATGTGCAGGGTGATGTTTTGCCCCACATTGTTGATATCAAATTGGAGCTAGCGACCCTACCTACTGCACCCGCTCCCTCCAATTTTCTTGCCGTCCTGAGGCCGCCATGTCATTTTGCTGTCTAAACCACAGTGCTCGCCTCAACACTGACAGCAACCTCAGTGCTGATGCGGCTAAGATAGCTATGTTGCCCACCGTTTATCATGTCTCATCCTACCAAGCTATACCCACTTTTCATTACCCCCACACCCCAAATTATCATTTGCAGCAAGATCCTTGCTTTATCCGAGGTTATCATTATGGTGCAATGTTTAACATTGCAGAGAAACCACTAGAGTTTGTGTGATTAAAGGTTGTTGATGCACCGAGAGAGGTTGCTCCAACCTACGTGCACTCTAAAGGGGTGTATCATTGGGATCCCATTCCAGGAATGATGTAATATACCAGTCCTCAAACCCCCTTAGGTTGTCCAGTGATTCAGAGAATTTCATCTTGGTAGTAAATGTGAAGCAGGGTTACAATTGTCTTGTGACAGTGTTTCTCCTAAATGTGACACCTAGCTTCCCTCTCCCTATTACTTCCAGCAATATCTACCACTCTTCATCGCAGAATCATGGCCAAATTCGGTGGTCTAAAGGCCAATTTGATCAAATCAGCAGCAGAGAAGCGACCGGAAGCCCACTCCAAGGCTGTATCTACGTCTGCCTCTGCCAAGGAGAACACCCCAACAGTTCCTCTTTGCAAGAGAGGGAAGCGAGACTTTGCTGCTCAGCTCAAGACCCTCTATGCTTCAGCTGCAGATCTCAAGAAGGATTCTGAATGGTTTAATCAGGTTTACTTCAGGGTTCTGGCACCCACAACAATGGTTCATCGTCATCAGGCGGAGAAAATGTGGATGGAGGTGGTTCACAGTTTTGTACAGGTCAAGGGAGAAGGAAGAGGAAATGCTCATGCCTGGAGCACCACTACCTGACCTCAAATACATCATTCAGCTGGTTAACATCACTGCTCTCAATGGAGAGTCAAGATTGAAGCTTGAGGAAGTCACTGGCTGGAGCTACAAGATGACTCAATTATTCATTAGCTCAATATGGGGCATGGTATGTTATAGCCTTATCATCAGTTTATCCACATGTCTCATCTTGACAAATAGTGATGATTCCACAAATGAGGCTTTGAAAAATTGGGCAAAGAAAGATAAAGTTGTATCTACAAGTGCCCTACCCAAGCAATTCATGAGGAAGACAGACATGACAGAGTTCTTAACTGTCTGTATGTTGCCTACAACACTTGTCAGTAACAACTTCATGGTAAAGTGGCTCTCATATACTCATGTTCATTGCCGACCTCATTGAGGATTTCAGAGACTTACCCTCTTGTCTGTTGTTAACTTTATGTACCAACAAGGGACTCACATTGGCTCATTGCTTGAGGCGGACTTGGGTACTTACCCTTTGTACCTTGAGAATGGTTATACTGGTGGACGAAGAAGGGAGGGAACTCGCCAGAAATTTCATCCACGTCGAGTCGTGCGGATAGGCGGTGAAGTATCTGTACCCCTGGAGGACAAGACAGCCGAGGAGGAAGGCGGATGTTACGGTCACGATGTAGAGGGTTCCGAGGCTGGACTCGATGGGATCATCCATGTTGAGACTTGGAGGGGGCTACGGAGTGAGGATCATTCAGGACGGCGGTTGGCGTTTGTGTTTGCGTTTATATTTGGTGCTGGTAGCTTGGAGGATAGCGGTACCGCGGAACTGCGAGAAGGCGCGTACGTACGTGCAAGCCATCCAACATAACATAACATCAACAGATGCTCTGATGGCCGCCTGTCAAGGTCCTGGTGCGGAAAGTAGCAGAAGGCGTGTTTGAAGGACGAACGGAGTACTGTAAGGGTTGCACCCTTCCGGTGCGTGTATCCGAAGTACTCCTATCCCCTATCCACCCCTTTCCGGCCCTTCGGACTCGAACGCACATGATCCCGGACCTACGGAACGGTTGCGGACACACGTGATAACGGATCATCACTTCGGAACGACATATACCTTATCTCTTTTCCTTCTACCTTAATACTTTGATTTCCATCTCCCCATCCTCTTTAGTTACCTCCGTTTTGCGTTTCGGACCATATTTACATATGATTATCCTCGTACCTACAAAACACTCGTGTACTCGTAGCTACAAGAACAGATTTGATTTCCCCCACTTGCAGTCAGAAGCCTAAGTCCGTCTGAATCCGTCTTCACTCCGTTGTCAGAGCTGTCCGCATTCCGAGATCAAGTTGAAACTACGCCGTTGTCTTTCTCCTGCCGTCCTTATCATTCTCCTGCCTTCCTCGTCGTACCTCGTCGTTCCGAAGCAAGCATATTTGATCCGAGCGTTCCGGAGTCGTTCCGATTGCACATTAGCACGTTTCTCACACCGGAAGCATGTTCTCTCACGTTTCACGTCTTAGGTGTCACACGGACTTGTCCTGCCGGAGGCGGACCCTCGCATTGCATTTAGTCTGACCTACTTACAGGTCTATACATATATTCACTACTACATTCTGGAGCCCACCGCGAGGGTTTAAAGTTCAAGACACCCCCCCCCCCTTACACCCACGTTTCCTCAACCTTCCAACATTCCCCACCATTGAATTCGCTTCCGCAGTCAATCCGCTTCACGACATCTTTCCGGACGGTCCGAGTCAACAGGCCGTTAACTTCCTCTTCGAGCAGACTTCCGATTACTTTCCTTTCAAAATTGTCCGTTCGTGGGTTCCCGATCCTAATACAGTCGTCTGGCAGTTTGCTCTCACTTCCCGACCAGAGTCCGAGCACCCGGAAGTTCTAGCCCGGCGGCAACCCCCCAGTCTCCGACACAGTCTCTTCTATAATCCAGCGGCTACTTCCTACGTTCCCCCGTACAACCCACCTACAAACTCTTCTCCGTCTTCGTCCGGAACTCCCTCGTCCCCTACGCGCACATCCGACAGCCAGTCCCAACCTCCCCAAACAATGACCACAATGACCACCACTATGCCTGTCCGCGGTCACCACACCGCACCAAAATTCAACGGAAAGCCGGAAGGGCTCCACCGCTTCTTTTCGGAGGTCGAATACCTCGCGAACAGGGCGGCGGTCGAAGGTCGCGACCTTATCCGGGCAACGATCGGCTACCTCGATGACTCCGATTGGGAGATCTGGCGCAGCAGTGGGGATGCAGCTGACGGAAACGATTGGGAAGCGTTCAAAACCTGTATCGGGAAGCTCTATCCCGGATCGGACAACGAACGAAGATGGCGTCCGTCTGATCTCACTAGGATCGCTATGCTGCAGTCCCAGACGCCGATGCTTACCAAGGACGATCTCGGAGTCTATCATCGGAAATTCCTCGTTCCGGCTAACTGGCTCTTAGCCAAAAACAGCGTATCCAACCAGGACGTCGGACGTGACTATCTCTCGGGCTTCGATCCGGTTACGCGCCAGAAAATCAAAGATCGGTTGGCCATGGTCCATATGCAACATCATCCGGACGATCCTTACACTATCACCGAGATCTACATGGAAGCTAGCTTCATCCTGGGTTCGGCGACACCAGCCAGCCTGACTGCGCCTACAGCGGCCGCGTCCGCGTCTCCGACGACCCCGGAGCCCGTTAAGACAGAGTCCGCTGACATCCGAGCGCTTCAGTCCATGATGCAGCAGCTCATGACCCTGCAGCAGGCGCAACCGCAATATCCCCCTCCTCCGCCGCAGTATCCCTACAATCCCACCTCCTACTATCCCTATCCGACAGCGCCTACAGCCCAAGCATACACGTATCAGCCGGCTCCGCCTACCCAG